TCCTAAAGAAGTGCCCTTGCCTGGCAGACAGATTTCTGGGTGTATATAAATTTAATTGAGCTCAGCTTTGCTTTGAGCCGGGTGTTATGGGCTGAGCATGGCAGTCGTGGGGCCTGGGGCAGCCATTCGGTCTGGCGCAGTGCCCTGCTCCCTCTCCCCGAGTTGCCTCCCTCCAGATTCTCCTGCAGAGCTTCTTGTGGCAGGGACGTGATTCCATCCTGTATACGCAGGACCTTAAAGCCCTCGCCAAGCGCTGAAGAGCTCGTGCTTGTTACGTGCTGTTAACACTGTGAAGTACAATCCCAGCGCTGCCCGCATGCAAATAAATAACAGTGGCTTAGATATTTGTCCACTTTTCAGCGCAGAAATGCATTTGCTGCATAATGTAGTAGCACCTAAATCATTTTAGTAAAAGCTATAGAAAGACTGAAATACTGCTTGCAGGTAAAATTAAATTTTACTGTTTGCTGTTATTTTTATGATTTCCTCTTTTTATGCTTATAAAGAGATATGATGCTTAATCATTATTACCATTTTTCTTGTTCTCCTTTATTTTATTTCTTTCTCTTATTTTACCGTCCTAGTGTCTGAAAAGTTAGTCTACAGGCTAAAAATTACTTTAAAATACTCACTAAATGCTTGCTTATTTTTCTTATAGACACAGATGCCTTTTTAATGTGTCTGGTCAGCTTTGAGGCTCCTATTTTTGTTATGATACATGAATCACTAGCCAGAATTTTTAGTGTGCTCAGTGAACGGTAAATAGAAATCCCAAATTTTCAGATAAATCTTTTTGATTATCTACTGAGAAATTCCCTTCAAGAAAACGGTGTAAATTGTCCCACACTGAAAACTGGAACCTGTGCCGAATTTGTGCCTAAATTGAAATAGTCTCTGTAAGCTCCTCTGAGGAAGGTGAGGGGTTGCCTTCGCAGTAATGATTTAAACATAAACTGACCCTTGATGAGGGAGTTGGAGTTTCAGTTTAATGCATTTCTGCAGTTTTCCCTTGCCTTCAGTGCCTTCAAATTCCACACAAATAATTCCTTCATAACAAGTGCCTTTTCAGAAGATGTATGCTGCTGACAGTTAATATAAAATTATTGCCCCTGAATGCATTTTTGTAATTACTTCCCAGAGAACTGTCTTTGTGTTAGAAGACATTTCACACTTTAGTAACATAAGTGTTTGGGGAGAACATGAGTAATAATTACAAGCAGTCCTTCAGTGAAAATAAACCTAAAAATTATTAAAAAACCTAACGTTAAAGTTGGTTAGAGACAGTGAGGAATTTATTTAGCATGTTATGCATGTCTATATATTTTCCAAGTTTAATAACCCTTCAGTAAGTAAACTTAAAAAGCAATAAAGAACAGAGAAACTGCTTTCTAATTTTTAAGCAATAATGAAACTAAAAACTGATTAAAAGTGACATGTTACTAGAGACAGAATAAAGAAACTTAATCTGAATGCTCCTATAGGAGATTTCTGCTATAATGGAAAATGAAATGACTCACAGTTTGATCAATAAAAAAATTAGCAGCATTTAATAAAAGGTTTTTCCACCATGTTGACTAAGGGGTATTACGAATGTCTTGAAATCAAAGAAAATCAGGATTATAGGTTGAGTTTATACGTGTTGAGTATGTGGGATATAAAAAATATTGACTGAGCAGAATCGGTGGGCTTAAATGAGATCCTATATGTAAATAAATAATAAAGCAGAGCATGGGGCTAGGGTCGTTCGTGGAGATGGCTGTGTGTGTTGTGGTGGTTGTGATGTGGGTGCTGATGGTGAACTTGTATCCGCATGGACGCGGAGGGCGAAATGGTGGCTGCGCTGGAGAGCAGGGGCCGCTGTGCCGGGGGCTCTGTGGAAGCAGGCCGGGTTTGGTGCTGCCTGGGCCCAGCGTGGCCCGGTGCCGGCGGGAGGCGCGGGCCGGGCAAGGCAGCAGTAACGAGCAGTGTGCCCGGCCCTGGGAGGCCGCGAGGCGACACCGTGCAATTTTCAGGGGCCGAGGGAGGCCTCGTCCTCCAGCTTCTCATTAGAGCCCCGTGGCATGATCGATGGCACACGCGGTGTCGGGCTCAAGGGGCGCCGCCTCTGGAAGGGCGGTTGGGCCGTGACCGCCAGGGCCGGCGTCCAACTCGGCGCCGCTCACTCTGATGCGGCAGCTCCAAGATGGTTCCATGTGGGGCTGGTGGAGGCTGCTGTGGCACCACATGGCCAAGGCAGGACAGCCTGAGAGGTGCCTTTTGGCGGTTTGTTCCTCAGCGTCCGTGCTGCAGCGTGTGCTTCACTGCGTGCACCACGGGGCCCTGGCGTCCAACGGCTCGGCGGGTTGGCACCGCGTCCCTGCACCTGAAGTTGCTCTGGGAGAAGCGCTCCTCAGCGCCACGTCCAGTGCTGTGGCCTAAAAGGAGGATGTTGGTGCAAGCCCCACAACTCCAGATGGTTTTGTTCACCCATAGTTGTGCGGGTAAGTGAGAAGATCTAAACTCTGTATTTGCTCCACAGCTTTAAAAAAAAAAAAAAAAAAAAAAATTAGTTTGCTCCTTTTTTAATTTCTCTGGCCTGCCTTTTGCAAGGTGTCACCCACTTCCATGCTCATGGACCCGTTTCCTGAGCCTGCAGGCAGAGTAAGGAACGAGGCTGGGGCTCAAGCCGCCCTGTCAGCCCGTGTCAGAGCGGTGATGGGTTCACGGCGACGTCTCCAGCGACACGTCCGTGCGATGCCCGGACTCCACTTCGCTGGCGTTGGCCAGGGCCCTCTCTCGTAGGAGGCCCTTGGCTTCCTCTCAGTGCGCTGCCATCACTGGCCTGCAGCTGGGGCTTCAAGGGAAAAAAGAGGAGGGAAAAAAAAAAAAAGAAAACAACAAAGGAGCAAAAGGGGAAGAACAAACAAAATGGGAATGGAGGGCAGCGCTCCGTCGGGCGGGAAGGCCAAGGCGTGGGGAGCACGCGGCCCCGCAGAACATCCCCTCCTCGAGCAGCACTGCGCTTGCTAAATAATTTATGCGCGATTCATCGCTGTGTTATTTGACATACAATTATGTCAAGCAATGATAGTTTTGCAAGGTTGCCTGGCGGATCAGATTCGCCGGTCAGCAGGGAATTGAAAAATGTTTCTGGAATTTGGCTTTGCAGGCAGGAATCTATTTTCTTATCTCACATTGTACAATTTATTTTTCCTAAAGCAGTGTGCTAAATTATTTGTTTTTGTTGGACTCGGTCAAACAGATTTATCCCTGGCGTAGCCACGAAGTTTTGGAGCGGGCCCAAGGATGAATTTGTCGCAGTGTACTCGCCCGCTCGGCTGACCTTGGGGTTAACCGTCAAAAGGCAAAACCACTGCCATAAAAACCCCTTAAACCATCCCAAAGTTGCCTAAATACTTGGTGCTCCTGGTGGCAGCAAAAGCAGCCTGGAGGTGCTTTCTCCAAGCTTTCCATTAGCAGGCAGCATGGAATCAGGTGGCAGTTCTTTAAATTAGATTTATATACTTGGACTATTTTTATAGGTTTCTGTCTTATAAAACTGGAGGGTTGACATTCTGATTTATTAACTATCAACTCTACAGGACATGCAGGGTTTAAAGAGATTGAATGAGCTGTAATGTTTGTGATTCAAGTGTGAGATGAGAAACTGTAAAAAGGTGTGCCAAGTAAATATGACAAAATGGAAGTGATAATTTGAATACGTGCATTAAATTATGTGTTAAGTTAAGCTAGCATAGCTTTAAATGTAACTTATTATTTGGCAAGGCAGCTGTATAAAGAGAACCAGAATTACGCTCTTTTTCATTACAATAAGTTTTTATTAAAGGGAAGGCTATAAAGCATGAAGTTCAGAGCACCATGTTTTATTGAATAAACATAGTACAGATGAGGAGTTGCAATGCAGAGAGCTTAGTGAGTGATGCTTTTCATAACCAAATTCTTAAATTCCTTATCTGTGTATAAGTGGCATATCTGATTTGTTAAGATGCATGTTATATCGTAACCTTAATGGAGATTTTCTAGCAGGAAGGAATGTATAATTTAACAGTAAAAGAAGCTGAGAACGTGTAGATCAGCTAATTGCGAGGAGAGGTGCCACGATCCACCACAAACAGGCATTGGTTTTTAATATTGCCGTTGGGAGGCGAAGGGGCTGTCACGCTCTGAGGGCCCCCCGGAGGACAACGAGGCGCTTTCACGCTGCCCTGCTCGTGCAGAAGTGGGTGCAAACCGGGCGCTTTCAGCCCCAGAGCCCCTAACAGCCCGTGCCCCACAGCCTGCTCTGCAGCTGGGGGTGTCTGCAGCTGCTGGAGGGCTGAATCCTGGGGCACATGAAGAGCTGTGGGTCAGGCGGTGAGGGCAGTGGTGTTACCCCATGCTTGGCTTGTAGGCTGGGGTGAGAAACCCCCTGAGATATCTGACAGTCCCATGCAATGACATTGGCCTTGTCACCAGAGTGGTGGCGCTTGGGGCTTGCTCACCGAGCAGACAGACCTACGTTGGTTTATAGGCCCTATATGTGTTCTTTGTGAGTCTTAAACTATGATCGTATTTTATTTTTCTTTTCTCTCTCTCTATCTCTCTTTCCTGGATATTAGTAATATTGGGGTTTGAGGCAGTGGGAGCATTAGGAGTTAGGATTCAGCACGTGCCTTTCCTTGGCAAGCTGTAATTAATCTTGCCAGGCTTTTAGGCTTTGAGAGTCCAGTCTAGGCAATGAAACACTAGCCAGTTTATGTGACAGAACTGGAGACTGCTGCTCTGCACCCACCAAAGCAGCTCATAAAAAGCGTGTTTGCAGGATTCACACCAAGCAGTGGCGCGTGCAGCTGAGAATTGTTGCACCGCATGATATGAAAACGGCATTAATATAATAAAAGGTGTCGGGAATAACGTGAGAGCAGCTGTAATTAAATGTGTCTTAATAAGCACAACATCATCCTTAAACCTCTTCTTTCCCCAAACCTGTAAAACTTAGAGCGTGCTCTTCCCGTTGGCAGGTGGCCTGGGAGGAGAGCTGGAGCACGATGCGAAGGACAGCCGGGCCCTGGAAGAGAGGAACAGCGTGACGAGTCAGGAAGAGAGAAACGAGGAAGATGAAGACATGGAGGATGAGTCAATTTACACCTGTGATAACTGTCAGCAGGACTTCGATTCACTGGCAGACCTGACTGAACACAGGGCACACAACTGTCCTGGAGGTAATGTTAAACTAGCTTTGCAATTCTGACAGGTGGTTAGCTGGGTAATTGGACATAGCAACAGCTTGAGGCCTCAAGTGAGATTAAAGAATTAATAATGTAATTTTACAGTTAATGTAATTTTATTGTGGTGCCTTGGGTAGCCTTTGTTCACTCCTTTAATAAAATTAAAATAAAAGCAACAGCTTTCCAATTGGAATATGTCAGTAATTATGTTAGGCAAAAATGTTGTGGGCTTTTTCAGTGTTAAAAGTTTCAGATAGGGTATTTTTTCACTCTCTCCAGATGCAGACAGGTTTAAAAAAAGGTTAAATGACATTAGGGTGCAAACCCCGCCCTGAACAAAGGCCTCTGAACCCCATAAATGAGCATGACACTTCCGAGGTTAAAATTCCAAGTGAGAGTTATGTAATCCCACCCTAAAAAGACGCCATTCTCCATAGGTTATTATGGCATTTTCTTCTGAGTTTGGTGGCAGTGAGGATGGCACGAGCCTGGGCTGAGCTCGGTTTTCTTTTGTGTGAAGCAAGGGGAAGGCCAGTGCGCGGCGTGAACAACTGCAGCGTCTCTGGCCTTGCCAGGCCTTTCCAGGGCGCTTTTCCCAGGGGCAAGGAGAGCAGCAGGGTTTCTGGGTCACACATTAGGCCCCTGCATGGGCAGACTGAAACGCCTTGCTGATCTTTATCAGAGATAAAATAAAAATCTTAGGAGAGTGAGCACAGAATATGCTTGTATGTGCTTAAACATAGGCTCTTATCCTTCACCTTCCAGGGATTAAATACTTTACCATCACTTTTTCCTCCACTGTTCTGAGAGATTTTTTGGGCGATTTCTCTTGCAGCTGCTGGGTGCAGAGCTGCAGAGGGGCAGCAGCTTCTCCTCTGAAGCAGACCCCGAGCCCTCCCCCTTCTCTCCCCTGGGCGCACATCCCCACTCTGGCCACGGAATTTGGCCATTAGTCCACGTTTCCTTCTCTCCTTCTTGGGCCTCAGCGATGTTTCTGCTGGGCCCAGGTGAGGCAGAGCAGCTCACTGGGGCTGGAGAGGCGCCAGGCCAGCGGTGTGAGCGCGCCGAGGGCGCTGCCGCCTGCCCGCCAGCGCTGGGCAGGGAGCAGTTGTTCTTCTGAGGCTGATGATGGGTTTAGATAGAGCAGCCTAGAGCTTCGACTTCGCAGAATCACCCAATGGTTAAAGCTGGAAGGGACCTCTAGAGATCATTAGTCCAACCCCCCCTGCTCAAGCAGAGACACTTGTATCACTATAGCCAGCATCTTCACACCTCAGTTTTTATTTATCCTATATATAATATTCTGTGAGATTAAGTAAATCAAATCATATTTTTGTGGGGTGTAGCAGAAGAATTTGTCAGTATTGCCGTTGCTAATTTTTGATTTCAGGTAGCTTAATTTCATCTTCTCTTACTGTCTTCATATGTGATGCTGATTCACGAAGACATTTTGTCATAAAAAGGAAGCATAATATAAAAAGGAAGCATATAGCCATCTGTGTATGCATGGGATAGATGCTGATTACCTCCATATGGAGACAACTTGTTGGAGAATGTGCCTGTTTTCTATTTAGCTTGATCTAAACTGTTCTGAAATGATCTTGATGTAAATAGGAGCATGGCACTCATATACTTGGAAATGAGAATGTCTCCATGGAGAAAATCTGGAATATCTCTAGATATTGCATATATTAACTGTGAGACAAAAGTTTAACGTGCAGGCCCACCTATTTCTTTGATAATTATATGAATTTTTGTTCAAAGCATAGGAAACACATGTGTTGTTGAGTTCAGCAGAGCAGGGTTGCACCACCAGGTGAAAATCTAAGCCAGCGTTAGGAAGCGTGGTGTGTTTCAAGACCATATCCCACACAAGAAGCTCTTGCACCATGTCCTTAGCTGCCCCATACTCCTGTTTTTGGCAGTGCCCACCTTGGCAAGCTAGGTGTTCATGTCTTAATCTGAAACAGAGTTTTCAATCATGTCTACAAGGCTCCAGATCAATGCAGGTAATATTTGTAGTGATAATATTACTGGGTTGATAATACAACATAACTAATGACCTCCTGTGGGACAGCGCAGTTAGGAAGGTATTGTAGCCCAGGAGCCTGGCAGGATTGTAGGAGATTACTCCAAAGAACAGGATAAACCATCCATTTCACTGGAGTCCCTTAGAAATTCATTACAGTGCGCTGAAGTTATCATACAGTTTGAACACAGCTGCTTTGACATGTAAGGAAGTAGCAAACAGCCATTTCCCCCCTTGCTTTTTCATGTATTTCAGCTTGTTTCTTTGAGGACAAAACACCGCTGAAATCTAGACATCTCTTGTAGCAGGAGAGCACCGTGTTCCTTTTGATGTCAGGGTAGTAGAGATGTTCCCTGGCTGACAGAGCTGGCGCTGCTGCCGGGGCGGCGCGTTGGGCAGCAGAACCTCTCCAAACACGTTGAGAATAAGGGAAAATGCTGGGGGGTGCATTAGCTGTGCGAAGTTTTAAAAAGTAGCTCAAAAATCACTTATAGCCCGATGCCCCTTAGCTAGAAAACACTAAGGAATTGCCATCAGCATCACGTGCAGTCCTTATTTGATTTTTTTTGCACGTTGCTGTTATAGGTGCTCTTGCAGCATGATGCAATGTTTTTGTTGACAGGAGTAGCAAATCACAGCCAGGTTTACAAATCTTTGCGTGCTCTAGCCAGCACTAGGCACTGCATGCATCAAACAGCTCTTCTGCAATTTAATACTGTCTGCAGCCTGAAACAGAGTGTTTCCTGTCTGTACAAAAGTGGCTGGAGTGCCCTGAGATTTGCCATCTTGTTTATGTGTTTTGACCCATGAGCATTAGTCTGCTTTTAGCTGCAGCTTTTTCATTGCATTATTTTTGCCTTCTCCACCCATGTTGCCCCTTCCCACCCACTGGGTCCAAATAGCCTCATGTAGACTTTGTTCTTCAGTTTTTCAGCTGAATAAAAGTACCTTACAGCAAGTTAGGCCCCAATGAACTGGAGAGAAGTAGGTGACGCTGGGGTCTCTGAGCATTTCATGAGGTCCTCTTCTGTTGTTGGTAACTTTACAGGTTGTCTGTTTCAAACAGCAGCAGAGCTTTATATGGATATTGCCAGCTTGGAAGCGGCTGATTTTTCTAAACTACTGTACGGTAGGAACTAGTTTATAATTAAAGTCTTGCAGTTGCTCCTTTTAAATGCCCTGTAACCTGTACACTAGGCTTACACCTGAAATGAGGTATTGTAACTGTTTCATGCTAGTGTATAATTTTGTGTTTTCTTGCGTTTCACCTGCTCCAAGAATGATAACTGCCCTGCAACGCAGAGTGCGAGATGCGCTGCCCCGAGAAGCGCACGCAGCAGCGCCTCGGCGGTGCTCAGCTCCTGCACCGCTTTGGGCTTCTCGATGACCAGCATGGGCTTCCTGCCTCCATTTCCAAAATTAGCCCTCCCCAAATTAAAATATTTTGTTGGACCTGATTGGCAAGTTGGAGATGTTTCATTTCTTTGCTGCTGCTGTTGCCTTTAAAAAAAAAAAATTGATGAACTACTGATCATCCTCCACAAAAGAAACTGAAATATAGTTGTGAAAAAGCAGTGTGGAAACTTAATTATACACCTAGTTTATACAGCTGTGGCTCTAATGACCTCGTGGCCCTAATTACTGTGTTGTGGCTTGGTCTGAGTGCTCTTGTCCTTGCCAGAAGCCTGTTCCTTGCTCTTAACCTGACTAGTGTTTCAACCTAAAAAACGTAACACATTTCCTTTCTGCTCTGTCCTGCGTTGTTGTGCTGAAATGCAGTTTCCTCGCTTCCATGGAGGCTGTAACGGTGTTTCAGAGAAGCCCAGCAGCGCCGTACGCTGTGGAAACACGCGGAGAGTGTGGGCTGCAAAGCGGATTCCCTGGCCCGCGTTTGGAGCGGGCACCAAGTCTGGTGCGGGATGGCAGCAGGATCGCGGGGATGGCAGCGGGATCGCGGGGATGGCAGCAGCATTGCAGGGGTCGCAGGGATGGCAGGGGGCTGGCAGCGAGGTGCCGCCGCGGGGCGGCAGGCCTGGGCGCGGGGCCGTGCCAGCCTGGGCGCGTGGGCGCAGGCAGAGCCGGGCCGGCCCCGGCAGATAAGCGCCTGCCAGCGCGGGCGCCTCGCGCGCCGCCGCCGCCGCCCCCTTTGTGTGGGCTCCCCGGGGAGCACGGCCGGGCAGCGAGAGCGGCCGCTGTGCGTGCAGATAGGAGCCCTGCCAGCGCGGGGGGCTGCGAGCGGGGGACACCGCGGATGCGCCTGTCCCTTCCTCGGCCCTTGCGCGGCTCACGGGCACCCCGTGTTCCCCGCGATGCTTCGTGGCCACACGTGTGCGTCCCCCCACAGCCAGGGGCTTTTTCTTAGACCAGCAGCCGTTATTCCCCGTCATTTTTAAGCATGTGGCCTGGTGAAGCGCCGAGGGTGACATGTTAGCTTGGTTGTATCAGCAAGGGACTGCTTCGTTCTTGCTACTTTAATTGAGTTCTTTTATCTACTTTTATATGGTTCAAAAAGTAGCTTGCAAAATAAGTGCAGAGATGCGTGAGAAAGAGGAGAAATGACAGTGAGCCCCTTCTAAGCCGTCCTAAAGACATCGCGCATCTCTCTGAAGTTCCTTAATGCACTAGTATGTGGCAGTCTCAAAGTGCTGCAAAGGGAGTGGGTACCTGCAAGGTGTGGGGTGCCCCCTCCTCCATTACCCCAGTCACAGCAGAGTGCTCAGAACTGCTGCTGATAGAGACTAAATACACGCAGCTCGGGTCAGAAATGCACCTAGCAATTGGGTGCTCGTCACAGCATGCCCTCTTAGTAGTGACTTGGTTTGATGGAGAGTGCCCTGGAGTTGTCCTGTCTGAAGCAGATGAGAACATGGTTATTGGTAGTGAGGTGTGCATGACCCACTGACTGAAGGGACGAGTTTTGTTGGTAGCTGTCACAAATTCAGAAGAATTGCACGTCCAGAGAGTT